AAATTCTCATCTTTCCTTATCCATTCTTTTTAAAGAACAAATAAAACCACCAAAACCAAAAACCAAACTCACTGCTGTTGAGTTGGATCCGACTCATAGCAACCCCTCCTTGGGTTTCTGAGGCGGTATCACTACAGAACTGGATTGCCCAATCTTCTTTCTGAAGAGTGGCTGGTGGGTTTGAACCACCAGCCCTCTGGTTGGCAGTCAAATGCCTTAGGCACTACGCCACCAGAGCTCCCAACAAAACCACAAGGTACCCTATTTATCCTATGAGTGCTTTCATTTTGCAAATGAGCTAATAAAAATCTGAATGTCATATTTTGCTTCAAACTAATAAGGTATTTATAAAGCAGGCTATTTGTTGAATTTTTCTTTTCAATTTTCCCTTGATATCTAAATTTAAATTATAAGTGTGTATATATATGTGTGTGTGTGTGTGTGTGTGTGTGTATAGAGAAAGCGAGAGCGAGAGCGAGAGCGAGAGCGAGAGCGAGAGAGACAGAGAAAAGGTCAAGAAATAGATGTAAGGGTTTTTCCTGGTGGTAAGACTATGGTGAACTGCTCGCATAAAAGCCATTCACAACCCCCCTTTCCTAACTTTTAGTTCTATAAAGACTCAAAAATGAAAATGTTTTCCCATCTTCCCTTGCTGCTAGGGAAGGCCATCTTACCCAGTCCTAGCCAGTGAGATGTAAGTGGAAATTCCCGGGAAAAGCTTCCAGGAAAGCATTTACGAAGGACAAATCTGGCTGACATATGCCTTTTTAAATGCTTGGCCCTGCTTTCGATCACTCACTTTTTCTTGATAGGCAGATACCTGAGGGTACATTAGGCTTCTTGCAACCATGAGGACAAAACCCCACGTTAAGGATGATGGAGGAGGAAGCTAGCAAGGGTCCTTGATTATGGTATTGCTGAACCACTGCTCTAAACCTGGAATTATCACACAAGACAAATAAACCCTCTGCTTGCTTAAACCATTATTAGCTGGGTTTTGCTAACACGCACAACTAACGCATCTAAGTCCTTGCCAACATCTGTGCAAGAAGGACAAACCTAAAGCTCTCCATCTGTTACTGATCTTCTCCTACGACCAACACGGTAAGGTGCGTAATGTTTTAAAATTCAATGGCATGTTTAAAATGTGGAAAGAATTAAGTGTCCTTCATTCTGCATATTCTTTCAAACTAGTAGCTAACTTCACTGAACAAATTTCAACTTTAAAAAGTTGATGTGAGCCCAAATAAAAATTTGTTAACATATTATATAAAAATTTGTATAAATTTGTTTATACAAAAAACAACTTCTAAACTTATCAAATGTTTTACCATTCTTATCTTTTAAGGATGCTCTATTTTCTACTCAGTTTGTAATATAACCAAAATCATTGATCTTATTCTCCAATGTATTATGTTGCCTTGAAAAACATGCTAATTCTTGTCCCCAGATTTATTACATGCACACACAGGTAATTTAATCCCGGGAAAGAGTAACTGCTTCTGACATTTCAACACCAGATGTAATTAGTAACCTAGAATTCTTTCTTCAAAACTATGACATAGGCTAATATCTAAAATAATGACTCAAGATTAAAGTGTTACCAACCTTTGCTGTGAAATATTAAAGCTGTCTAATCTCATACCTTTGAAAATAAAGGCCATTGAAAATGGCAATAGCAATGGCAAGTTATAACCATTTCAAAGTAAAGCCAAAATTTACCTGGACAAAACAATAATGCTTTTCCATGTAGTTCAATATTTCAGAACAAATTCTAAAACTTGTTATTTTACTCCTCTGAGCAACTGCTTGAGATGCAACTGATAAAGTTCAGCATGAACACCCACATGCACATAAACATGACACTTTCTGCAAACATTACTTTGACCATGTCATTTCCATGCTCAAAATTCAACAGCTCCCTACTACTGTCAACAATTCAAACTTTCTGGGTCAGCACAATCTCCCTTTCCAGTTTTACTTTTCTCTATTTCCCAACCCTGGTCAAAGTTCCTCTCCTTCTTCCAAAACAATTTCATATCACATTTTTTACAAAGGATGTTCACAACAGTTATTACAAAAAGAACTCAGAAGCAATCTAAAAGGCAAAGGAACATCTGCAAAATACCACGTTAACTATTACCACACACTGTGTAAGCACATATGGGGGTATTCTTTAAAAAATGAGAATTGTGTCTATTTTAAAAAAATGCTTCAACAATATACTATGTATATTACTATTCTAGAAAGACCAAAACACACATTATTATTGCTAACAACCAATCAGTGATAGTACTACAACACCTATTCATCAGTACAATGACGACATTATAGAGAAACACTTGTCCTAAATAATGGCTACAAATAATAGTCACAGGATTGGCTGTACTGCCACCAAAGTACCATACGCGATCAAAAGGGCAGCATTTTCCCAGGGACAAAGCTAAGAAGGCAGGACGGCATAGGGAAGAAGGACAAAGAGAAATCACAAACACAAGGAGGAAGTGGGAAGAGTGCTGTTACACTGCAGGGACTGCAATGAACATCACGAAAGGAAATGTGTATGACTGCTGAATGGAAGACCAATTTGCTCTGTAACTATCACCCAAATCATAATTTAAAAAAATTACTATTTTTAAAAAAGGAGTTAAAGGTGACATAAACAATTAAACACCTAAGTTTTTAAACATATCTTTAATATTTTTAAAGTAAGGAATACAAAATGTTACTTTAAAAAAGTTTTAAAGTGTTGCTAAAGAATATAACCTAATTTATCCCTGCAAAAACAAACAAACAAACAAATGAAAAACCACATTGACTTGGTAACTAGATCTTTTCTTTAAAAAGAGTAAATGTAGCTGCAGAGAGGGTTGGAGGTTTTCAATAAGCACTCCTGGATGTTTATTACAAAGCATATACTTCCCACTGCTGTTCAGTCCTATCCGACTCATACTGACCCCTCCTTGCATTTCCAAGGCAGTATCACTACAGAAGTAGATTGCCCAGTCTTCTTTCTGTGGAGTGGCTGGTGGGTTTGACCCACCTACCTTCTGGTTAGCAGTCAAATACCTTAGGCACTATGCTAGCAGAGGTCCTATAAAATACATACAAAAAAACTCAACTCACTGCCCTGGAGTCGAACCTGATTCACAGCGACCCCTCCTTGGGTTTCTGAGGCAGTATCACTACGAAAGTAGATTGCCCAACCTTCTCTCTGAGGAGTGGCTGGTGGGCTTGAACCACCAGCCTTCTGACTAGCAGTCAAATGCTTTAGACACTACGGTACCAGATCTCCTAAAGCATATATTTAATAAATGAAATTTAAAAAACAAAACCAAACCCCAACAGGTTCCTTTAAGGCCCAGCCTTTTTCCATCCCAGCAATAAATTTCTGGAATTCGGTTTCCTTTATGAAACTTCGTGGGCTTACTAAGGAAATTCTGCAGACAATGCTTTGATAAATGCTGTTAAAATCTTTAATAGACTATTATTAGATTTATGCAAATTCTAAGACACATATAACAATTACTACTAAAACTGTTGTGCAGAATATTCAAGAAAACCAATTTATCTTTGGAAACAATAACAGTGATAATTTTTATTCATTTAAGAATTAATAGAACCCAACAAGTCCAATTAAAGCATGCTAAAAAGCACTATTTTTTATTTTTAATTATAGTATTTAAAGTATTTGAGAAGTCTTTATATTTTACTTTCCTACAACTTAGGTGGCAATTAGGTCATTAAGGAAGAGATCAAAAAAGAAACCAGGATCCCTAACTCCTTACACTAAAAAAATCATTCCAAACCTGTCCTCTTCTTTCCATTTCCTCAGCTACCTGCCTAATCTAAGTAACCAACAACTCCTGTGACTTGACTGACACCTAACAGATGTCTCTTTCAGGTTTACTCTTTTCCTCTTAGAATCCTTTCACTACAGAAAGAAAATTCTTTAATGTACACAAGTCTGTGTCACTCCTCAGCTTACAAGTCTCCCATCACAAATAATAAAATTCAAACTCCTTATCATGCCCTACAAGATGAAGCATGGCTTTTCCCTCCCCTCTGTGCTCTTCCACTGGCCACCTCTGCTTCTCAAACCACCCACTGCATTCCGTGAACTCAGCTGCCCTCATGCAGCTGCTGTTCCCTTTGCCAGGAACGGCTCCTACTCCCTTATGTTGGCAAACTCTCCACGTGGCTTGCTCCTCCTCTTCATGTGCAGTGTGGGGTTCCCAGATTTAGCAAACAGAGATACAGAATATGCACAGAAATTTAAATTTTAGATAAACAGTAAATAATGTTTAATTACATCCTCTGTAATATTCTTACACTAAAAAATTATTATTTATCTGAAATTCAAATTGAACTGTACTTCCTCTGGCATCCCTGGCTCCAGTGTCATCCCTTTTATTCCACATCTAGGGCCTCCTTTGTCGTAATTCATCTCCTGATTTTCTTCTCAGTACTTGTCAATCTCTGGAAATTACTTTGTTCACTTCTCTGGTTCACTCATTGCCATGTTCTATCTCTATCTCTAACGTGCAGTTAGTTCATCACCGCTCTTTTAACCACCACATCATTACATCTGCCTGATGTTAACTCCACAAGCATAAGGTCTCTTCTTCTCTTGAAACGTTTCTCCAGCTTCTAAAACAGTTTAGCACAAACTAAGTGCTCACAAAATATCTGTTGGATGCATGTATGCTCTGAATTTACCTCCTTGTAAGGTGTTGAGCAGATTATTCCTTTCTAATTTCATAAACCAGGAAATAATGTTACAGAAGGAAAACCAATGAGACTGTTTGTCATACAAGCAATCTGAACACTCTAGTTTTATGTGATTTATCTTATTACTAGTGTTGTATTACAGTAAGACAAATAGTAAGAACTGTCTATAATATCACTGCATAACCACAAATAACTAGGAATATAGAAAAAACAAAAACATGTTTACAGAATGACTTTACAGAGATGTAAAGTTACACCAATCACTTTACCGTCTTAATAGAACTCCTTTGTTTTTCTTCCCAAACATTACTGCTCAACTCAAGTGTGCAATGAATATTTGCTTCTCTGTCATAGGATCCAAAAATAAGTAACCTGCAAGATAAAAATAAAGCAAGGAATTACATGCATTAAAATGTTTCTCTTTGAGCATAATGTCTATACCAAGAAGTAACACATTACTCTATTACTATTAAAGCTTTGGTAACAGGAGAAAATTTAAATCAAACCCTTGGTACACCCTCTAGTGGGAAAGCGAAGTAAAGCTAAAATTAGGTGACATTCCAGGACATGCTTAGTATTTTAGCAGGTAAGTCAAATAAATACAAAGTACAGTCAACCCACTGGACTGCAACTAACAACAACATTATCTACTCATGAGATAAAGAAATTAACCAGATATTTATAGACAGTAGCAAGAACTACAGATCTTGAAACCAGATTGTTAAATTCTGAAAAAGCTGCACTGACGTACATGGTATGAATCATCTCTGTAAAAATTAACCCCCCAAACAGTACAAAATAACTGATTATGAATATTCATACAAACACATGTACATGGCAATAGGATACTGAAAACAACAAAAAAGCAAAAATCATCACCTCCTTATCTAGTCTAAGGAGCTCTGGTAGGACAGTGGCTAAGACATTTGGCTGCTGATTAGAAGGTTGCTGCTTCAAACCCACCAGCCACTTCTCGGAAGGAAGGTTGGGCAATCTACTTCTGTAGAGATACCACCTCGGAGACCCAAGGAGTCGTCGCTATGAGTCAGAATCGACTCAAAGGCAGTGGGTTTGGTGTTTTTTTTTTTTAAATAAGAGTACTAAATAAGAAAGTCTTTTGGATACCAAAAAACAAACCAAACTCAACACCGTCTAGTTGATTCCAACTCACAGCAACCCTATGGCACAGAGTAGAATGCCCCGTAGAGTTTCCAAGGCTGTAATCTTAAGGGGAGCTCTGGTAGCATAGTGGCTAAGGCACTTGACTGCTAACCAGAAGGCTGATGGTTCAAACCCACCAGCCACTCCTCGGAAGGAAGGTTGGGCAATCCTACTTCCGTAGTGATACTGCCTCGGAAACCCAAGGAGGGGTCGCTATGAGTCAGGGCTGACTTGACGGCACATAACAACAACAACAACAACAACAATCTTAAGGGAAACAGATTGCCACACCCTTCTTCTGTGGAGTCGCTGGGAGTTCGAACCAATGACCTTCTGGTTAGTAGCCGAGTGCTTTAATCACTGTGTCACCAGTGCTCCTTTTTGGGTAACAGCACATCATTTACACAGAGATTCTCAGTTCATACGTTGTTGTTATCAGAGTGTGTGGTAGTTAAGGTTGTTTGTCAATTTGGCTGGGTCTGGTTTTGAGTAGCTGGGTAGCTGGTGGTAGTTACTCCTCATGGTGAGATTGGTAATCAACTCCCCAGTGGAATCTACTGGAGCAGCTGAGTAGCTGCCTCAGGGATGTGGTCCGCTACCAGTACATAAGGAGAAGTGTTGAGAAAGGTCTGCAGCTTTTGGCTGCTTGAATCCTACATGTAGCTGAGTCGTTGCTCAGCAGCCTGCCAGGCTGTCTGCTACCTTGAAACTCTTAATGGATTTACATTGGTGGCCTGGTGGGTAGTTTGGTAGTAATGTGGGACTGCCTTTTCACTTGTCGACCGTGGGTCTGTCAGCCTTAGCAGCCAACAGCTGCCTGAATGAAGAAAGCCTCTAGTTTCAGTGGGCCGGAAGCAAAAGGCAGAGCTGAAGCCCAAGGTCAAGGGGCTTTCACCCAGCCCCTAGGGCCTGGCACTTTGAACTCGTACTTCTAGCCTCCCAAACTGTAGGGGAATATACTGTTTGTTACAGCCTGTATCTGTGATATTTCTGTTAGAGCAGCACGAATTAACCAAAACACAGTGAAAGGGGATTAACTCAGGACTGGCAGGACAGCACTATAGTTAAGAGCACACAACTTCTGGTCAAAAGGACCTGATTTTGAATCCAAATGGCTCACTTACTAACTTGACCTAAGGCAAATTACTTCACTTCTCTAAACTCATCTCTCTCTCTCTGGAAAATTCAGGGCAAAAATAGTACTCACCTCTTAGGTTGTAAAAGATGATAATATATGCAAGATACTTAGCTTAACGCCTAGCAAACAGTAAGTGCTCAATACATGCTTATTTCTTTATCTTGAAAACAACTGTCAAGGAACTATGGCATGACCTACTTGCACTGTTTAATATTCAGATATAAGTTGGAAATCTCATGTCCAATTACATTAAAGAAAAAATTACCATTAGCCATGTATCCAACTTCTGTATTATCTGTCTTAAAATCAGAAGATAAATTTGTCTATTTGTTTCAGGAGTAAGCTTGAGAATAGCTTTACAATAAGCCACATTTTGACTATTATTCCCTTACTTTATCTCTACATGAGGCTGAGGGGATAGGAGGGAAGTAACAAAAGGAAGTGGATAATCCACATTAGAGTAATAGGAGAAAACTATGTCCTAAGGTTGGAGATGATGATTTCCTCAAGGAAATCCATACCTCAAAACAGAAGCCCGAATAAACAATGGGGGAAAAACCCGAATAAACTTAAATCATTCTTAAAGATTCTTAAAAGGAACTTTAAACTTAATGCTTAACAATCTATAACCAAAAATAAGGCAGGCCAAATTCTTTAAGATTCAAAACTATAAAATACTAAGTTTATAAAACAAGATTTTTCATTCACTAAGCCTCTGCTGCCACCATCTGTTCAAAAGCATAAACTATCTTAGGACTTTTACTGTCATGTAGAGATGGCTATGTGATCATCAGCTAGTGTTTCCAAACTCCTGACAAGTATTAACCTTTGGGATTTGGGAATAAGAAAGAGGAATTCTCAAAAATCCTTCCCTGAAACCATGGTATTCTACATTTCTCTCTTTTCTTTTTAATTTAAAGGTTATTAAAAAAAATGAGTCAGACTTCCATCAAGATGGCAGAATAGGTAGGCAAGCTACACAGACCCTCTGCAACAAAGAAATGAGAAACCAACTGAAACAGATACAGAACATAATTCTGGAACCCTGATCTTTGAAGGGAAGGATGAAGAAGTGGATTAAACACCAACTAGTAGAAGAACATGAATGAAAACAGTGAGTAAGGACACAAATGGAGCTGCAGACTGTAAGCTCTCCTGACGACACAACCTATTAGAATATTTACAAGTGGTGTTCTGATCTGGGCAGCAACCTAAGAAGCAGGTCTGCTTGCCAAGGGCTACATGGGCAACCACATGGTGGCTGACGACTAGAAAGAAAAACAGAGAATAAGGAGACGAACAGCTGTGGACTGTTGGTTTTTCTGAGGGTGAGGCCCTTTTGAGTATGCAAGCTTCATTCTGATACTGGCAGCAACCTACGAATAGGCTCCACTTGCTGAGGACACCACGGGCAACTGGACTGGAGGCTAATGATAGAAAGTGCAATATTCCCCTTGTAATTCCTGTACCTCACACCCACTTGGTGAATGAAGTGTGGCCATCCCCTACCTCTATCCACTTTCTGGACTGGCAGGAATTCCATCCTGGTCTGGGCACCCAGGCAGAGCCCAGGTGCCCCGCCCTTCCCCCACTTTCATTTGTGTTTATTTTTAAACTATTCTTTTCTCCCTCCTTTCTTTCTCCCCCCCCTCCCCTGGCTCTCCCCATCCCCTTCCCTCTTCCTTGGTTACCTTCATTTTTCTTTCTTTTCTTCTTTTTCTTTCTTGGTTCATACCATCCCTTGTTTTTCTTTCTGCATTTCTCTCATTTATTATTATTCTTTTTCTCTTGCTCTTTTCTTTATTACTTCTTCCCCAAATATTGTGGAGTTTTTACTTTTTTAAAAATCTTTTTGTCTTTCTTTTAATTTTTCTGTTAATTTATTGCCTTTCCTGTCTTTTGGGTGATTGTTGCCATTTGTTTATGTAATTTGTGTTTTTTGTTCTAGTTTTATTGTTCTGGTGTTTGTTTTTTTTTTTCTAACTGGGTATGGAGACAGCAACCATGCACATTTCATCCAAGCATACCGGCACCTCCTGCAGCCAAATCACAATAAAAAGTTTTAAAAAGATGTAGTAATACTGGCAGTTGTTTGTATTAACCCATTAAAAAATTAAAATTGAAAGAAAAAAAAAGAGCTATTTATAAAAATGAACTCAAACCTATACGACTATGAGACCAGAAGAACTAGATGGTGCCCGGCTACCACTGTCAACCACTCAGAGGGGGGATCTATGGAGGAGATCCTGGATAGAGAGGGAGAACAATGTGGAACAAAACTCAAAATCATTTGGAAAAAAAAAAAAGGGACCAGGTTTGCT